GGCACTGGAGGTTCTGGAGCTGCTGCGGGTGCTGGCGCTGAGGGTTCTGAGTCTGCTGTTGCACGGTTTCCTTGGAGTAGCCGCCTTCGTCCGCGTGTGCCTCTCACCTCGCAGCAGCTGCACGACTGGTACGGTCGCCGTCAGGGTCGCGCTTCTGGAGCTCGGGGCTCTGCCGCTGGAGGTACTTCTGCTGACGTCACTGGAGCTGGGAGTGGTGCTGGTCCCGGAGGTGCTCGTACTGGAGGTACTGGAGCTGCTGGGGCTGGAGGTGCTGAGCCTGAGGGTGCTGCTGCTAGAGGCACTGAGGCTAGAGACCCTGGGACTGGAGGTGCCGGTTCTGGGGGTGCTGCTGTTGGTGGAGCTGGTCCTGGAGGAGCTGGCGCTGAGGGTTCTGGGGCTGCTGGAGGTGCTGAGCCTGAGGGTGCTCCTGCTGGAGGCACTGAGGCTGGAGACCCTGGGACTGGGGGTGCCGGTTCTGGGGGTGCTGCTGCTGGAGGAGCTGGCGCTGAGGGTTCTGGGACTGCTGGAGGTGCTGGAGCTGCTGGGGGTACTGGAGCTGCTGGTGCTGGTGTCACTGCACAGCCGCGCCTGTTCTTCGCTCCACCGTCTCCGTCGTCTCAGCCACCGCCTGACTCTGTGCTTCGCCAGGTTCTTAGTCTCCCTTCGTCTACTGGTCTTCCGTTACAGCCTGGCTCACCGCTGCCTGCTCCTTCTCCTTACACTGAGCAGCTAGGGGGTCTTACTGAGCGTCGTGAGCCTGCGTCGCGTCCTGTCTCGCCTGTCTGTTCTCGTCGTTCCGGTCGTCGTGTTCCTCGTCCGCGTCTGCCGGCTGTCCCCGACACCCACCTCGTAGTCCGTCGTCCTTCCTCTCCTCCACAGCGCGTTCCTCTGCCGTCCCCTCCTGCGTCTTCTCTGCTTGTCCTTGCGGACCCCGAGTCTGACCGGTTTCGTGCTGAGCACCCTACTGTCACGCGTCTGCTAGCCACTGTTGTCACTGACCCGTCGTTTGAGTCTGCTGCTACGTCTGCCTTAGTTGCTGAGCTTGTTGACTTTGCTGCTGCCTGTCGTCTAGACTACGCTGCTAGTCTTGTTGCTGAGTCTGAGTCTGTCTGTCCTCCGTTCGTCAGGGGTGAGTGTGCTCTTGGCACGGACGTTCTTGAGGACAGGCAGGAGGACCTTGAGTGTCTTGCAGCCGCTGCGCCTCATCTCGTGTCCATGCTGCTTGCCCCTGAGGGAGACCCGGATGCTCCAGACATCCCGACCCCGCGCTCTTACGCTGAGGCGATCGCGGGTGAGTACTCCTCTCAGTGGCAGACAGCCATGGACGCAGAGATGGCATCCTGGAAGTCCACAGGCACCTACGTCGACGAGGTTCCCCCACCTGGGGTGAACATCGTCAGTGGCATGTGGATTTTCAGGGTGAAGCGGCCGCCGGGTTCTCCGCCTGCCTTCAAGGCGCGTTACGTTGCACGAGGTTTCAGTCAGCGAGAGGGAGTTGACTTCTTCCAGACCTTCTCCCCCACCCCGAAGATGACCACTCTTCGGGTGCTGCTGCACGTTGCCGCTCAGCGTGACTACGAGCTTCACTCTCTTGACTTCAGCACAGCCTTCTTACAGGGCAGCCTGCACGAGGAGATCTGGCTGCGCCGCCCACCTGGCTTCACTGGGTCGTTCCCTCCTGGTACCCAGTGGAGCCTCAGGCGGCCGGTCTACGGTCTCCGCCAGGCGCCACGTGAGTGGCACGACAAACTGAGGACGACACTTGCGGCTCTTGGGTTTGCTCCTTCGACTGCTGACCCGTCGCTGTTTCTGCGCACCGACACTTCGTTGCCGCAGTTCTACATCCTCGTCTACGTCGACGACTTGGTCTTTGCCACTGCTGACACTGAGGCTCTCGCCCTGGTGAAGTCGGAGCTGCAGAAGAGACACACGTGCACAGACCTGGGTGAGCTGCGCAGTTACCTTGGCTTGCAGATCACCCGGGACAGAGCACGCCGCACCATCACACTGACTCAGTCACACATGGTGCAGCAGGTCCTTCAGCGCTTCGGCTTCACCTGGTCCTCGCCACAGCCCACTCCTCTGGCTACAGGCCACTCGCTCTCAGCTCCACCTTCGGACGAGTCCGTAGAGCCGAGTGGTCCGTACCCAGAGCTAGTGGGCTGCCTCATGTACCTGATGACCTGCACTCGACCTGACCTTGTGTACCCTCTTGGCCTTCTGGCTCGCTACGTGGCTCCTGGTAGGCACCGAAAGGTGCACATGGATGCTGCTAAGAGGGTACTGCGCTACTTGTGCAGTACATCGGGCATGGGGCTCGTGCTTGGAGGACGGGGCGACGTTGTCCTCACTGGGCACTCAGACGCTTCTTGGGTTGACGACCAGGCTACGCAGCAGTCGTCACAGGGTTACACCTTCAGCCTTGGCTCTGGTTCGGTTTCTTGGCGTACTACACGCTCGTCTTCAGTTCTCAGCTCCAGTTGTGAGGCTGAGATCTACGCCACATCCATGGCTGCACATGAGTTACGCTGGCTCACCTACCTGCTGACCGACTTGGGAGAGCGGCCTCGTTCTCCTCCAGTGCTGTACGTCGACAACAAGGCCGCCATTGCCTTGTGTCATGAGCACAGACTGGAGCACAGAACGAAGCACATCGCTCTGCGTTACTTCCTGGCTCGAGAGTTGCAGCAGCGTGGTCAGCTTCGTCTTGCTCACGTGGCCACTCGGGCCAACACTGCTGATATATTCACCAAGGCGCTTCCGTCTGGTGATCATCAGCGTTTTTGCACTCTGTTAGGCCTTGTGCCCACGTTTCCTCACTTGCTGTAGACTTTGCTTGTACTGTGATCTATATATATACCTGCATGCTTGCTCTGCTAGGTAGAGATCACTGTGCTGTTGTTGTTGCATATATACCTCTGCATGTGAACTGGCCTTGTGGCCCTTTGCTTGTGCTCAGTATGTGTGGTGACGTTGTGATCCACCCTGAGCTTGCTTTGCTTCTCTTGACTGGTCTTGTGACCCCTTGCTCTCCCCCACTTTGCCTATGGGGGTGTGTCAAAGTATATGCCTGTGTCATGATAAAATGTAGGCTTTAGTGGGGTAGCTAATGTAGGGTATATGTTTTGTTACTTGTACCCAACTTTCTCGATAGTGCACATCCATCCTTTTCTCTCGACAGAGGTGTGCTTAGTAGGAGCACCGGTGACTTCAGCAGCAGCAGCCATTGCCTTGGCAGCCATCGTGCGATGATGATGAATAGCTCAATAAACGCAGCCTTTGGCTGACAATGAGCTGAGTCTGAGCACCAACTTGTGTTTAAACTTTTTCTTGTGATGCCTGAACAGGCACAAGTTCCTCGCTCTGCCTTGGTCCGTGTTGTTCCTTGATAATGTTTTCCTTGATGTTGCAGCTCGATAGCACCTTGGTTTTTTACGCGATGAAACCCTGAAACAACCATTGTTGATGCTGGACGCGGTAGTATCAATGGCTTCCTTGAACCAATGAGAGACAGACACCTGAGAACCTTGGCTAACAATGCTAGATGAAATACCCGCTTTGTAGGTACAAATTTTATGCCTAATTGTTAAGCTTGACAAGGCGAGTCTAATGGTGTGCTTAGAATCTGACATTGATACGAAATAGTGTACCATTGATGTTCCCAAAGTCTCTGACAATATCCATGGCGGCCTTGGGATTCGAGTCATTGTTGTGGGTGGATATCAAGTCACCTTCAATCGCACAGCAGATGCGCTCAGTAAGGAATAAGGAAAATTCCTTACACCAAGCATCACCACAAGCAGACGCGGAGCGACCACAAACAAATCGGCTGCCTCAAGATTGCCCCACAAACAAAATGGCTTCCTAAATCCTCACCTAGTACCTCCTGTCGCCTCGTTTCTCACGAATCTGACTCGACTGACTGCGGTGACCTCTGTTTTTCACCTCTCGCTGTTCCCCTACGTAGCTTTTTCGTCGTTCTTCGTCGTCGGCTTTTCCATACGCCATGTCTCGGTGGCATGGCTCCGCCGACATTCACTCCCAGTCAGCTCCGCGGCCTCGGTATACACAGACGCCCAGGATCCACGAAAACACACGCCACGCCGGTCACACGTCGCGTGCGAACAGTAGAACCATCTGTGTCGCAGTCGCATGTCGTCCTCCCATTCACCGAATCGCGCTGCTTATCATCCGTCCGTCCGTCTCGCGGTCACTTGCCGGTCACTCGCCAGTCACTTGCCGGTCATTTGCCGGTCACCGCCATAACCAATCCCTCGCCGGTCACTCACCGGTCACTGTGTCATGGCCGACACATTCAAGGTCCACTCCGCCTTGATCCCTCATGGAGATCCCTCGCGCATGTTCTGCGCGCACTCTACTGCGCGCACTGTTCTCCGCGCACTGTTCTCCGCGCACTGATCACCCTCCGCGAATGCCCCCATTCCGCTGCCCTGCTCCTTTCCTACTTGAAGTACTCGCCAATCGACGCTGCCAGCATAACAACTATCGCACCCACTCAAGTAACCCATTCACAGGTGCAGCACAGTAGCCAAGCCACAGCCGCTACCATCCGTATTTTGAGTCGACTCAAACCACAGCAGTGAACAGAATCACTACCGCACCCACCAGTGCGTCTCTGTCACATTTGCCACAGCAGCTATCGGCGCATCTGTATACAACCTGCTTGCTGTCGATTCGCCTGCGCTGATTCAGAGCAGGGATCAAACGACAGTCTCCTCCTCCTCCTTTCTCCTCCTTATTCGATTCTCCCTCCACTCCTCGTCACATTGCTCCCAATCTCTTCACTCCCACCCGCCTTTCGAACTGCTCAACCGCCTGTAACCGACCAGCACCGAAGCAGGGTCTGAGCTGAGCAGCACAGGGGAGCATCAAAGCAGTTGAGCATTTGAGCATCACCATACACCACTACACACCGCTATACAACGCCATTCACCGGCCTTGACATTCGCCATTCGGACGGTCATTCCCTGCACAACGCCATGGCAAGCCCTCCCAGCCAGCCAGCAGCCGAATGTTGGAGGGAAGGGGTGGGGGAGAAGGACGCTCTAGGCTCACGGTGTGCTGCTGCTGCTGCCGCTGCTGCTGCTACTGCTGATCCTGTCACTTGCTCTGCTGCAGTTCGTGTGGAGGGTGGTACCCGGAGCAGGGGCGGTGGGGCGGCGGTGGTGTTTGGGAGAGGCGTGGCTGCTGTGGCTCTACCATGGGTCCTGGCGTGCCTCCTGCTCGCACATGCAGGTATGCTTGGGTTGGAATGTGCGGGTGATGTGTGAGAGGATGTGTTAAAGGCATAGCAGTAGGTGCAGTTCGGTTCTAAGGTTTTTGGATGAGTGGCAGCAGCAACGGCCGCTGAAGTGCTGGATTCATGAGGATGTGGTTCCAGAGCGGTGAGTCAACGGCCAACAGGGTGCGCTTCAACAGAGCCCCACCCAGTGCACGTAGTCCCAGTCCACATGCGTCCACGTTGATCCCATCCCACACATGTGTATGCTTTGACTGATGGCTTGCTTCATTAAGGCTGTGCTGGTTTGCTCGTTGCCTTATTCTCTGTGTGTGCCATTCCACCCGCCTCTTCAACAGGGATAGGCTATGCCCTGGTACCAGCACGGTCTGATGATGCACCTCCAGCAGCAACAGCAGCAGCAGCAGGAGCACACACCCTAACGGCTACTGCTGAGACCGACATTCTCCAGCCATTCCCATCCCCATCCCCATCCCCATCCCCATCATCACCATCACTCGCCACATCCCCCTCCTTCCACGCACCGTCCACTGAATCTGGTCAGATCCTTCATCCTCCTCCTCCTCTCGCCACCAACACACCCGCCCCTCCTCTTCCCACCATCCCTCCTCTTCCCACCACCAACACACCCACTGCCCGAATCTCCTTCCGCCTGCCGCTATCCCGCAAGACCATGCGCCTCCCAGACATAGTCCCGGAGCAGACAAGCAACCAGGGCACACTCACCAACCAGATCCAGTTCAACACTCAAATCGCCGAGGCGAAAATGGGGGGGACGGTCGATCAGAACAACTCGCAGTCTCAGAATGCAGGCCCTGCTAGCAGCTCAGCAAAGTCGCCTCCTGCGCCCCCGCCGTGCCCGGACAAGAAGTGTGAGAAGGAGCGGGCGAAGGAGGAGATAGCAAGTGATGCGAATCAGCTGCATCGGGACGTGGGGCAGGTGGGGCAGGATGTGCGAGATATCAGGCAGGATGTGGCGCAGTTGGTGACGAGGACTCCGTTGGATTTAACGTACACGTTCCCGGCTGCTCCGGATTATCGGAGGACCTTTGCAGAGATCATTCCGGAAGGCGCTGATGGGATCTTTGTGAGCTTCCCTGGTGGGGGGGCGCCACGGCAGCCATGACTGATCAAGGATTAATGATTAGGTAGGGATCAGTCATCAGTTATTACTGATCAGTGCTCAGTGATCCAATGCTTCATCATGTTTGTATGCTGTAGAGGTGAGACTCCCATCTTATTGTCCGTTTGCTTATACATGTGTTATGGATACATGCCCGTAAGACAACAGCCCTTGCACCTACAGCAAAGTCTGGAGAGTTGTACCACAAACATGTCAGGATGATGCCTTCCAATCTATTCCTTCATAGTTCATACCGTACATGCATGCATTATTGATATGGATGGATGTACATACAGGTAGTTTCCATGTACCGTACATCTAGGTACAAGTACCTCTTTTATTACACAACAAAAACTCCTAAAACCAACCATCCAACACACCAAGCTGCCAGACGAAAACCTGTAGTCATTGTGGAACCTCCACTACAGGTTGAACATTACCTTAATAGCCTTCCCTCCTCCCGCACTCACCCTAAACGCATCCTCCACCTCCCCTTGCGAGAACCCAAACCGGTGCGTTATAAGCGGCTTCACGTTAACTCGCCGGTCCCGCAACAGCGCAACGCACGTATCATACGTGTGACAGTACCTGAACACACCCACAATGTCAACCTCCCGGAGAGCCACGGCCGAAGCTATAGGTAGGGACATTTCAGGCTCGGTTTCTCCCATGCCTATGAGCACGACGCGCCCTCCTGCTGACGTGGCATGGAGAGCCGTGCGCATGGTGGCGGTGATGCCTACACAGTCCATGGTGACGTGGATGGTGCCCGAACATGCTTCTAGGAGGTGAGCTGCGTTGGCTTCAGCCTGAGAGGCATTGGGAGGAGAAAGTGTGGGGTGGGAACATGGGACGGTGGAGGGAGAGGAGGGGGATATGGAGAAGGGAAGTAAGGGGAGTAAGGCAGGGAGGGAGTGAGCAGGAGAGGAGTGTGTAAAGAAGGGGAAAGAGGGCCCGGAGGAGAGAGCAGGAGTGGAGCATTACAAACGAGCCGGATGAACAGCAGGATAAGCAGCAGCGAAAGCAGCAAAAAAGGGAAAAGTCGCTACTCACCGTTGCACCCGCTTCCATCTGCAGCACCCGTATTCCACACCCCTTCTCCCGCTCCCCTCCCCCCTCGCCCTCTCCACCACTCAACAACACCTCCTCCGCAAACGCCACCCTGTCCCTGCTAACATCCGCAACGGCGACGGCAGCGGCACCCAGAGCACAGGCAGTCATGGCCACGAGCAGGCCTATCGGGCCCACTCCCACCACCGCCACGTGCAACCCGGCAAGTGAAGGCTCCGAGGAGAAAGGCGAGGAGGGAGCAGAGGAGGAGGTAGTGGTGGGGGTGGTGGCGGCGGCGGGAGTGGCGGAGGAAGGGGAGTGGGAGGGGTGCGTGAGGGGGAGGATGCCAGGGCCAGCGGCAAGGGCGCGGCGGCAGGCGTGTATGGCGACGCTGAGGGGCTCACACATGGCGCCCTCCTCTAGGGACACGGAGGGGGGCAGGGGGAAGCACAGGAAGTCCGGGTGGATGACCTGGGGGGGGGAAAGGGGTGGGAGGGGAGAGGGGAGTGGGATGTGAGGGGCCTTATGTCGGTATACCTTCTGACGCTACCCTCAAACCGAATCGAAAGCTTGAACATTACACCCTCACCACCATCCAAAACGAAAACCCAAACCCAAACCCAAATCCAGACCCAAAAATCTGACCACGCATCACCTCATTGGGCAACAATCTATGCCCAGGCGCCCAAATTTCAGAGCCGCTTTTCAGCTCGACTCGAATAACACCAGTCTCATCACCTCATTGGCCAGCGATCCGTGCACGGGCGGCGTGGCAAAGAACTGCATGTCGCGGCACAGGTTGTAGCGGCCAGCGCCCCCCGCGCAGTGCGCACAGGCGGCGGCTGTAGCAAGGCACCCGCGCCCCGGCTCCATGGCCACTGCGTCCCCCGGCTTGCAGCGCGTCACTGCCGAGCCCACTTGCAGCACCGTGCCTGCGCTCTCGTGGCCGAGAACCATGGGGGAGTTGACTATGTAGTCTGCTATTCGCATGTGCTGGTGGTGGTGGGAAGAGGTGGGAGAGAGAGAGTTGACAGGAAGGCATGAGTTGGGCTTGAGGGGCAGGCGGAGGTGCTTGTAGCGGCCAGCACCCCCAGCGCAGTGTGCACAGGCGGCACCTCAAAAGCAAGGCAGCCGCGCCCCGGCTCCATGGCCACTGCATCCCCGGGCTTGCAGCGCGTCACTGCCGAGTCCACTTGCAGCACCGTGCCTGCGCTCTCGTGGCCGAGAACCATGGGGGACATTTCTATGTAGTCTGCTATTCGCATGTGCTGGTGTTGAGAGGGAGGGGAAAGGAGAGAGAGCGTTGACAGGGAGGCAGGAGTTGGGTTTGAGCGGCGAAAGGCAGGCCCGTGTGTGTACTCTGGTGGACTAGAGCCATGGGGGAGTTGACTATGTAGTCTGCTGCTCGCATGTGCTGGTGGTGGGCGGGTGGTTGGGTCGCTGGGTGAGGGAAAAGGAGAAGGGTCCCATGTGAAGGTCCGAATTAGACGACGAGGTCGATTGGTTTCATGACTTGTGTGCAATGCTGTGCCTCACCATATTGCACCGTGTTGCACCGTACTCATCTGAATAGCACCATATTGCACCGTACTGATTGCATGTTTGTATGAGGCTGGCAAAAAAAGCCTGCTACCAAACTTAATCACATCTACTAACAACGTGCACAGGCATGCTTCCATACAGTCACACACGGCACCTTATAGTAATGCACGTCGCTGCCGCATATTCCCACGGCTCTCACCCGCACCCGCACGTCGTGAGGCCCTGCCACAGCACGCGCACGGAAGCAGAATGCGAATGGAGTTACTCGCAGCGAAGCAGAGCGACGAGTGACTCCAAGGTGAGGCTTTAAGTAATACTGTCGCCTTCTTCGCTTTGTGTTCCTGCTTATTTACATTTGGCACTTTCTCCTCCGTCTCCGTTTTCTTCTCGTGTATTCCCTATCTTTCTTCATCCTTCTCTTGACGCGAACGGTGCGTTATCGTACCCAGTTCCGAGGGGGTGGGTGCAGGAAGCAAACGAATATCCTCCACCCCATACAGCCACGCAGCAATGTTCGTCTCGCTGCCGCTGGCGGCTTTCCCATCAGCCATGAGAAGAGATTCTGGTGTGGTAGGAGACGAGGAGTAGGAGGCGATTCGAGAAGAAATACGAGGCAAGAAAAGGGGAGGGAAGGACGGAACACGCTAGGGAACGGAGGAATGGAGGAACACGAGGGAATAGGAGAGAGGAAAGGAGAGGAGCTGTGAAGAAACGGCAAAGCGAAATGGGAATCTGGGATTTGGAATTTGAAGTGGAGCTTGCATGCAAGGTTTGGTTTGGCGAAACGTGGGTCGGGAAGGCGAAATGGTAACGGGAAAGCAACTCGCGGATTGTCTTGGCGAAATTTGGGTGGGAACAGGAAAGCAACTCGCGGATTTGCTTGGCGAAATTTGGGTATGGTTGGCGATTAGGGGGTGTTACATTGCGCGCTGGTCCATTTACAAGGAAATGGACCAGCGAATGCAAGGGAGCACCATTTTAGAGGGACCACTTCCAAAAGCGGTCCCGCGTGGTACCGGGGACCATTTGCGGCGGACCAGCTATGCACAGTGCATTGCAGCTTCGAAAACGAAGTGTTGACGAAAAAAAAAGTGTACCTGGTCAAGCTTGAACAAGATGTCGCACACAGCAGTTACGCTTGGCGAAACAATCAAAACGCAGTTTTCGCATGCGTTTCCCATCGCCTTGGGTCGCTCTGGAAATGGTCCTGCGTGTTGAGCGTCGTGTTCGTACGTGCGCCTCGCACTGTACATTCTGGTCCGTGGGCGGGTGCAAGTCGGGTCCACACCTGGGCCGTTCGCTGGTCCATGCTGGTCCGCGCTGGTCCGCGCAAATGCCCCTGGGCCGCAGCGGCCCAGCACGGCCCAGCGTAGTTCTTGCGCACATGTAACATCCCCTTAGATGGGGTGGTTTTGTTGGTTGCAAGGGGGGAACGTGTGGGGTTGGTTGTGGAGGGGTGTTCGTTGGGGAACTCGAGAAACGAGATTTGTTTCCATTACAATCCATCTCTTTCTCGGAGTACACGACTACGTGGTCCTAAACATACCGGTAGGAAACCTCCATGTCCATATTACTATGCATGACCCTTCCAAAATGAATAATTCTTAGCACATGAATTCACTCCCCCTCACTTAGCCAACCCCATATTTATTGTACACCCAACCTAGTAACCCAAGCCTACACTAAACATCTAGCAAAATTGTTTGGATCTCCAGCTTTGCTGCCGATCCTCCCAACAAAACAACACACCAAGCAAGGCAGCAACACCATCAAACTAACTCCTTAGTGCACCTTCATTCTCCTTCCTCACCCCATTACCCTCCCCCCCTCTTCCCCCTTAACCTCCCCAAGTCCACAGGTCCCACTGTTCCTGCTCACGGCAGTTCTGAAGCCGCAGCAGCGGCCGCAGCTGCCACAGCAGCCGCAGCAGCCACAGACTGTGCAGGGTGCATGATTGGCAGAGCAGCAGTGGGGCTAGTGGGGCCTGTGATACCTGTGGGGCCTGTGTTTGGAGCTGGGACTATGAGCACGGGGCAAGCAGCGTTACGCATGCAGTAGTTGCTCACACTGCCCATGGGGAACCTGCGGCACAGGCGGATGGGGCGAAGGGGGCATAAGCAACAAGGGAGGGGGGTGGTTGTTGGTAAGGAAGGCACGACACACTTTCATTGCACGAAACCGGACAGCCACGCCACATGTGGCAATACATCGGGGACTGATAATGCTAACAGTGCAAACCGTTGCACGACTTCCTAACCACCAGCATGACATGCCATGCCATCCATGCCATGCAATCCATGCCATGCCATGCAATCCATGCCATGCCATCCATGCCATGCCATCCATGCCATGCCATGCCATCCATGCCATGCGATGCGGCGATGCCCCCACACGAATCTCACCATTCGTTCACCTAAGCCCTTCCAGCCCTTCTACTTTTCCTGAACCGATCGTCCACCACCCCTTTATGTCCTTACAGCGCCCAGAATCCTCACTGCTATCTATCACATCCCTCCCACCACACCCCTCCTTCCCCTCTTCCACCCTAAACCCCCCCCAACCCTCCCCCCGCACACACACTCGCACCCATCCACAACCTCCCCTCCCGGCCCACAACCACACCCTCCCCTTCCCCCACAACCTCCCCCTCCCCCCCCCCCCCCCCCCTCCACACCCACCCATCAATTAACACACATACACACACACCCACACACACACACACACACACACACACCCCTCCCCACCCTACACAAACACACTCATACACACATGCGCGCACGCACTTACACACACTCACGACCCACCTGCTCACCTCTTGAGCATGCTACTCCCTCGCGAGCCCATGACCAGCATATCCGCGCCCACGTATTTCGAATAATTGCTAATCACGTCGCGCGGATCGCCTCTTAACTCCACGCCTTTCACCTCTAGCCCGCCTACCCCCATACTCGCTGCTTCCACAACCACCCCGCTCCCCCCATGGCTGGTCGGACTGCTTTCCGCGCTGTGCCCGGGACTGCTCCCCGGACTGCTATTTGTGCTGCCGCAATTGGCGCCGCCATCCGCGGCGCCGACTGCGCCGCCCGCGCCCCCAGCGGACCCGTCGCGCGCGGGGCGCACGCGCTGCGTCTCCTGTGCGGCCATCTGGCAGCAAATACCGAGAAGCTCCCGCGAGTCTGCGCGCGATTGGCGCTCCATGCGCTGAAAGGGTTGCTGCCATAGGGGCGTATTCTCCACGTCGAAATCTACGCGGGGAGAGGGGGGAAATGGGGGGAAAGGGGGGTATATGGGGAAGAAAGGGGGAGAGGGGGGAAGGGAGGGGAGAAGAGCGAGTGGGAGAGGTAAGGTGGGTAGAGAGGGAATAAAGGTGGGGTTGCAAGAAGAGGAAGGGGCTTCGATGCAATAGATTGACAAAAGGAGAAGAATTCCGTTGATGCAGAAGAAACGGAAATGACTATAACGAGGGACGGTGACGTGGGCGGGAACGGGGATGGGGACGGAGAGGGAATACGGCAGGCGGGGAGCGCATGGTAGCGGCGGTACCATGGTCGAAAGGGCGGCGCGCGTGCACGATGTGGATCTCCTTGGCCGTGGGGCCGAACATGCGGATGGCGGCTCGCAGCGCCTCGATGCTGTTCTCGCTGCCGTCCACCGCCACCGCCACCTTTATCGGCTTCTGCTGCCCAGGGTACCGCGGGATGCCGGGATTAGGGGGGATAGAGGGAACGAGGATAGGCGAGAAATCAAGGAAAATTGGAATAAAATCATGGATAAAGAAAATAGGAGGATTCAAGAATTCGACAAAGATGCAAGGACGAAGCAATATTTTCCATTCTGAGGTAACCGCGAAAGAGTAGGCGCGCCTAGCTGTTGGCAGTGAAGCCCGGCTAGATACAAGTGTGAATACACGCGCTCCGGATACAAAGCAGGTGCCATACCGGCGGTCAGATGATAGCAGAAGGGGGAATATTAACGGTTTAATGTCTATGACCTGCATGACATGTGTGTCGCGACTCGCGACCTATCCGTGAGAACGTAACGTTGGGGCACACTTACGGAGTCGACACTGGTGGAAAGATTCAGAGACGCGCACTGGCTCACAGCGGAGCGACTCCATAGCGAGGATATCTGGAAAAGAGAGCTTAAAGGGAAGCGGGTGCGCGAACATGATCCGGCCGCGCGCGGAAAGCGCACCTGACTGGCGGCTCTCTCGTCCATGACGGCTGTACGCAATAAAAACCTCGTTGTGACCAGTTCCAAGAGAAAAAGAAGACTACCTAAGCAACTGAACGAGACGAGATTGAACGAAATGGAGGCTATATTATCGTGGAGGGGTGGAGTGAGCTTGAGCAGGTTCTCTGTCACACGTATGAGGATAAGATTGCTCCCTAACAAAAAAGCAGAATATTGGAGATCTCGCGGGGTCCAAGTCTGCAGCACGCACCGAAATTGGCGCCATTTCTGCTGGAGAAGCCGTAGTTCTGTGATGGATGCTGAACGAATATGTCTCCAGAGAGTCACGTTCTGTCTGTACCCTTCAATGTATGGGTGTTTCACAGTGTTGTTATGATTTTGGAGGCCTGGTTGCTTTTCGAAATTCTATTCTGTAGCGGATTCTTGGTACACCCTGTTTTTCGCTATTGTGAATGCCGGTATACTGAACCCTGTGGCTCATCGCGCCAAATTACGCGCTATAGTCAACTTTTGCACCAGTTCGGTTTGACGAGGTCAGCTACCTTTGAAGACGGGCGGTTGAAATTTTAATATGGCTCGGTAGGGTACCCAGGTTAACGAAATTTCGGATCACCCGCCTCCTAGAGACGGTTATTGTAAACTTTTCGAATACGTCCAAGGAACAATTCCACTGTTCAGTGTGTTTCCGTAGTTCAGTGTAGCGAGAAACAGGGTGTACAACAGAAGTGGAATGGACAGATACGAGGTGTACGCAAGTGTAGAATTGATGGTCCCTGTCAGACATTTTGACTCTGACTCTGGCTGGTGCTCGTGTTGGCTGGCACCGTTCAATCACTCCCAGAGCCAAGAAATGCTTACAAAAGCACGTCAGCAACCAAGCAAGCAAATGGTAGAATTTAGGAAAAGTTGCAGTTCACAGGACCGGACCGGACGCGCCCGAAAAATCCACCTGAGCGTGCGCTGCGTCCGACAGACAGACAACCTTGCCGCAAGCAGCTGTCCGCCCAATGTTTATCCACAAAGTTGTCACTGTAGCCAATTGTTGCGGGAACACGCAAGTGGGGCTGCAAGCTCCACCAATGGGATGCCATTTCAGCAAGGCGACAATCGCTGTAACAGCTCACACAAGAAGAATTGTGGCTCGCTGACTCATATATTAGCAAAGGGCATCGTCACCGCCACGTCGATCACGTGACACTAGGGCAGCAATCGGATGTGGAAAAGTTGGCAACCAGCTCAACTACTGGACTTGAGGAACCTCGCTTGAAGCTCCATCGTCGCAATTATACAGTTCATAGAATGCAGCAGCTCGTAACTTATATCCTTCATCTTCACCACATCTGACAAGTGAAAATAGCAAAATACAAAGAAAAAACAAAATAACATTCTGTACTGAGAATATGTATCAGTCTGTATATATTAAATCTGGGTGAAGTACGGGGTATGCACTCAGGTTAGGGTCTGAGGTGATAAGGGCACGAATGCTGTATTTTATTGCTGTAAAAATGCCTCTCCCGTGATTCCTGATTATCCTTTACCGTTACTTACCTGTCCTATACTTGTTTGAATTCAAAATACCGCACCAGTATGATATAAAGTAAAATTGAGCTGTAGACCATATCTCATGTGTCACTCACCAGGTTCCCGCCTTCCCTCCAAATTTGCCGGTTTGAAATTCAAGGGTAAGTAGCTTTGGCAGGGGTACTACTAGCGACCCTGCACTTTCAAGGGGACTACAGTGCTAGTTGCGGGCACTTTCCGCCACTCCGCCACTCCGACAGGAGCATTATGGCAACAGCACAGAACTCGGTCCCACATTCACCCACGTTGGAGTTCTGTGTTGTTGCCATAACTTTCCTGTTGGAGTGGCGGAGGGGCGGAAAGTGCCCGCAACTAGCACTGTAGTTCCCTAGAAAGCGCAGGATCGCTAGTAGTACCCCCGCAAAAGCTACTTACCCGAAATTCAATCCTTGAAAACTGCCGCCATCAGCAGACCAATCAATGAACAGACCTCATTGCCAGCCTCTCCTTGTGAGCCGCCACCACACACCAACTATCACAACTGCCACCCGCCACTCACCTAGAGCTTTCCTTGTTCTACGTGTTATGAGAGCTAACACTCCGAGCCTGGGCCTCTCTTGCGTCTCCACCACCGAAACCACGCTCCGATATCAGAATTCTTGTGCGACATCGTTTCCCACGTTCCCGTAATTGTTTCACAGGCAACGTAAAGGAGCAAAAAAGTTTGTGCCTACCATGTCGGCTGTTCCCACGCCTGCGGATTACACCATCGGCGGGTCAGAGGGGAGGATCCTAAGCAGGACGGAGTTCCCTTCGTTTCCGTACGACAAGTCGTACGACATCCAGCTCCAGCTGATGCGCGCCGTGTATGCCGCCGTGGAGCACGGCCAGGTCGGAATCATGGAGAGCCCCACAGGTTCGTCTACTAATTCACTACTACCAATAATCTTCCGATGATGTGGCCGCGCACGCATTCTGTCGCCCGTGGGCTTTCCTGGGCGAGGTATTACGTTCGTTTTTCCTAAGGTCTGAGGTCAGCTGTGCTTCTAATCCGCCTTCGGGCCGAGTATTCTCGTGGTTTGGTGAATTTGGTGAATTTTTATAACACGAGCTTAGGATCCGAATAGCTGCATGCACTTTGACTATATGAAGAGGAAAATCTGTGAATCTGTTTAGTGATTTCGTTGTTCGCGTTCGGAGGGAGCTGCGTCATCTCACGATTTGTTTTAGTCTGTATTTCCGTGTGGTGCAGGCACGGGCAAGACGCTGAGTCTCATCTGCAGCGTGCTGCAGTGGCTGCTGGACGAGCACGAGCGACAGGTACCGCACTCGCCAAGCAGCAGTCGCACACGTCGCACACGTCTCACACATCACACACGTGGCGTCGCACTGGTTTAAGGCGACTCACTCGTCGTCGCACACGTCGCTACGCCCCGCGCTGATGGGGGTCTCATTATCGAAACCAGTCAGAAATGAACAGGAATGAATGCCTGGCCAGGGCCCAGTTCCCTCCTCCGGCGCATCCAGTACCAATCCCCACCCCCCGCCACAGGCCCAGAACGCAGCGGGCAACCCTGCGGTGCAACCGTCCAGCGTGGGAAAGGACTGCGACAATGGGAGTAACAGTGGCGACTGTGGCGACTGTAAAGGCTCAGAAGATTGCGAACCAGACTGGCTTAGGGAATACGAGGGGTTGAAAGAGCGAGAGGCTGCAGCCAGGGTGTGTGCGCAGCGGCAGCAGCGGCTGGAGCGGCGCAGGCGGGAGAGAGAGGCTGCTAGCGCAGACGTGCTTGGGCCGGGCGGCATTCGGTGGCAGCATGTGCAGGTAGAGGGGAGCGGTGAGGATTCCCACGGGAGGTGGGGGCGGCGCTCTTTCGGAGGGGCGATGGACGGTGGGGATCGGAGGAATGGGAGGGGTGCGGTGGGGAAAGGGAGTGGGCGGAAGGAGGGGGATAAGGAGCCGGAGCAGGGGACTGGAGGGCGGGGGAGGGAGGAAGAGGAGGAGGAAGAGCAGTTTTTGGTTCCGGAATGGTGGTGGTGGTGGTGGTGCTGCTGCTGCCGCTGGCAGCACAGGGCGTGGACGGAAAAAGCGAGCTCGTGGAAAGGTGGGTTGTTTTTCTCATCTCAGTATTCATTGTGGTGCATCGGGAGTGCCACGTGATTGGCACTTTCAAGCGGTTGTTCCTGTGGAGGCCTTATAGCCTCCTGGTATTATCGTGCGTTGCGTACATGCACTGGCGTGTGACGCAAAAGACACGTGCTGCTAGCGTGCTCAACCGTACCGTTAACTGCTTTGTGGCAGTTGTTTTTAACTGCCGGATATTGTCTTGACTGCCTGGCAGGGAGCAGCGGGCGCGAGTGACAGCAGCAGTGACGAGGAGAGTGGTGGCGGTGCCGCTGCTGCTGCTGGGCGCATGGCAGGCACGGGTGGAGCTGAGGCTCTGGCAGAGGAATCGCTTAAGGTGTTCTTCTGTAGCCGCACACACTCGCAGGTGCGGTGGGAAGGGTGCACCTGCAAGGGCAATGCTGGTTTTGCAGCTCTTCCGGTTCATTTTATAGTTACGTCGAAGCAATCTGCAGACCAGCTTTTGATGTTGACCCTCGCCTTGGTTGTGTCCCGTCTTCCTCCCGACCCTGCAGCTTTCCCAGTTCATCTCAGAGCTGCGCCGAACGCCCTTTGCGGACCGGCTTTTCACTGTTGCCCTTGCCTCTCGCAAGAACCTCTGCATCAACCAGTGTACGTGTGAATCATCATACATGTTATAATCGTATGTGTCAATTTATTGCATGTCTTCATGATTGTGTACATGCTAATTGATGTATGCACGAACTGTCTGCAGTCCATCACCCTTGGACTTACCTTGGTCTCACCATGCATACATCGATCCACCATGCACCACCCTCACCTGCTGCATTGCCCCTCCTGGATCCCCTGCACGTGTATCAGTGTCGAGTCTAGGCAGTGCCGCTCGGTTCTTGAAGTTCCTCACAAACCATCTGTTGCATTGCTCTCCCTTGCCCTCCCTGCCCTCCCTTGCTCCGCTGTGTCCCCCCTGCCCCCCGTGCAGCGGTGTTGAAGCTGCGCAATGCGAGTGTCATCAGCAAATGACTCTCGAGACGTTGCTAACATTCTGCACCATCTGCCCTTGCTACATTGCCCTTCCCCTGCCCCCCATGCAGCGGTGTTGAAGCTGGGCAATGCGAGTGCTATCAGCGAGCGCTGCCTAGAGCTGCAGCGCCTGGCAGCGGAGAGGAAGAGCAAGGCGAGCAAGCAGGGGGAAAGGGTGGGTGTCATGCACCATGCACGTCACACTCAGCTTTGGCTGCAAGTTTCCCGTTCATGCACACATACCTTCGGAACAACTCTTGGTTTTCCTCCATCTTTCTGCTTTTTTCCTCTTGACTTGTTAGTTTCCATGTACAAGCCGATAAGATAGTTCTGTCATACGAACCCAGTCACTTCTGCACATTTTCACATGCTTGAACCCCCTTGCTCCAATTTTAAGACGTCTCAACGTTCATGCGAAAGTGTATGGGTGGGTCATGCCCCACCCGCTTTCTCGAAGCGTCTCAATAGTTGCTGATTCCGATGCATGAACTCCTTGCTCCAGGACCAAGCAAGCAAGGGCCGCACGAGAGCATCCGCGTCGGCTTCAACCTCTGGCTGTCCATACTGGGGCAAGGCGCAGCGACAGGAGCAGTTCCGTCATACGCACCCAGTCATTCTGCGCACTCTCACATGCTTGAACCCCTTTCTCCAGGACCAAGCAAGCAAGGGCCGCACGAGAGCATCCGCGTCTGCGTCTACCTGTGGCTGTCCGTACTGGGGCAAGGCCCAGCGGCAGGAGCAGTTCCTGCAGCACCTCGTGGCAGCGCCGCCAGCTGATATAGAGGACCTGGGCCGACTGGGATCACGGTGGGTGGTTATGTTATTGGTTGGGTGGGGGGCCTGCTCCTGTTGAGACGAATGTTGAGCTCAGCCGACTCAAAGCAGTTCCTGCAGCACCTCGTGGCAGCGCCACCAGCTGATATAGAGGACCTGGGGCGCCTGGGGTCACGGTGGGTGGGTGGGTGGGTGGGTGAGGTGAGGTGAGGGATCTGCTGCTTCTGAGATGAGTGTTGAGCTGAGTCAACTTAGAAGTCATTGTGCTGCGCCTCGTGGCAGCACCACCAGCTGACATAGAGGGCCTAGGCCGACTGGGATTACAGGCAGTGGTGGATGCGCTGCTTCTTGCCACTACGATTCAGTGAAGTTAAAATCAGCTCTTGGTTGGTTTGTTTCACCGCCACCTTGTTCCTGCTTCTGTTTCGATACAGAACCGAATGGTTATAAAAGATCTGCCCGCCCCTGCACCCCTGCCAGGCTGGAGACCTGCCCGTACTACGCGGCTCGGGCAGCAGCGCGGGCAGCGGACGTGGTGGTGCTGCCATACCAGTCCCTGCTGCACAAGGGCGCTAGAGAGGCGCTGCTGGGACCAGGGGAGAGAGCTGTAACAGCCAGCAACGGAGGAGGAGGAGGCACAGCAGGAGCAGCAGGAGGTGTGGGATCAGCAGGTGCTGTGGCTCCATCTAACAGAAGAAGTGGGGTGCGAAGCAGCAGCGGGGGCAGCGGGGTGCTGAGCAACAGTGTGGTAGTGGTGGACGAGGCGCACAACCTCACAGACGCGCTGGCAGGCATGCACAGCTGCAGCCTGTCCGCGCGGCAGGTGCATCTGGTGCAGGCGCAGCTGGCGGGGTACCTGGAGCGGTTCAGGCACAAGCTGGGCGCGGGGAACCGGCGGTATGTGCTGCAGCTGCAGGTGGTGGCCAGAGGCATTGCTGCTGTCATCGCCGGCACCAAACAACCGCGTGAGTTGCTGCTGCATTGATGGGTTGTGTTATCCTCTCTCCTTAGGTGCTGCAGCTGCACGTGATGGTGGCGTGGGGCATTGCTGCTGGGATCGCCTGCGCCAAACGGCCCCGTGAGTTGCTGTGTCGGGTTCCTTTTGTTGTCCCGATGTTTTCCCTCTCCTTGCATCATCTTCCTTGCATCGGCAACGCTCTTTGTGCGCACCCTTCCTCCATCCATCCCTCAGCACATCGCCAGACACGCATTGCATCGACGAGTTTCTCGTCTCCCTGGCTGTCGACACATGACACCCCTTCAAAGCGTCAACAAGTTTCTGCGCTGCCCCCCTCTTGTGCCCGCCGCGTCTGCCCCATCCGCCCCATCCGCCCCATCAACCCCATCCGTTTCTCTTCCCTCTCGTCGCCGCCAGGCATGCAGGGCATAGACGGGTTTCTCTTCTCTCTGGCCGTGGACAATATCAACCTCTTCAATTCAAGCTCCACCACTTAACCTTTTCTCTTTCGTCTCACTGCCACGCACCGGCAGGCATGCAAGGCATAGACGAGTTTCTCTTCTCTCTGGCCGTGGACAACATCAACCTCTTCAAGCTGCACCACTACGTGCAAGCCTCAAACATCGCCCACAAGGTGACTCTTTTTCTTATCAAGGTTCAGTGTTGTGGTTTTGTTACCCCAAAGCTGCACCACTACGTGCAAGCATCTAACATCGCCCACAAGGTGATTCTGCCTGCATGGCCTTTCGATTGGGCTTCATTTACAGCGCTAAGTGGCCAAGTCAGTACTCCTCACTCCTCTCTTCCAGCACTCACTACCTTCTCATTCTCCTCACTCCCTCACTTCGTCCCTCCCTCCTGCCTCCTTCCCAACCCCGCATTTGGCATTTCAACCTAAACCCCACATCTGTCAACAGATCAGCTCGTATGGCGAGTCTGTCCTGCTCAAGACTCTCACTCCCAGCAACAACAGCAGCAACAGCACCAACCCCGCCACCACCACCACCACCCCTTCCACTTCCACGTCCTCTCCTCAGCCGTCGCAGCACAGCATTGGAGTGAGCGCGTTCCGTGCATTTGCCGAGTTCTTCTCGTCTCTCTGCAACGCCAATGCGGACGGACGCGTGCTGCTGTCGCCCGCTCCCACCCTGACCCATTCCACCAACCACAGCAAGCACACCAACCACAGCAATAACAACAGCTTCCGTGCCAAAAACGCCAACGGGTGGGATCGTGCTGCTGTTTTGGCCACGGGGGCGAAGGAGAGGGAGGGGGGGAGTGGGAGTGGGGTGGGGGGTGGAGAGGAGGAAGGGGGGCAGGGGGAGGAGGATGGTGGTGGAGGGTTTGTGAAGTTTGTGATGCTCAACACTGCCCAGCACATGGAGGAGGTGAGGGGATGAAATGGGTTCGGCGAAAGAGAGGGGGGGGGAAGGAAGCAGGGGATAGCAAGGTGGTGACTAATGGTGGGAGGGTTTGTGAAGTTTGTGATGCTGAACACTGCCCAGCACATGGAGGAGGTGAGAGGGGGGTAGTGGTTCAGTGCAGTGGGTACGGGGAAGGGGGAGGGGGGAGAGAGAAGGGGGAGAAAGGTGGGGAAGCGGGAGGGGATGGGGAGGGGAAGGGGAGGAGAAGGGGGAGGGGAAGGGGAGGGGAAGCGGGAGGGGAAGGGGAGGACAAGATGACCACTTATAATGGGAGGGGTTGTGAAGTTTAAGATGCTCACGCTGCACTCATTCTCAACACCTTGCTGAATCAGCTCCTCCCCACCCTTCCTCTGCCCTTTCTGTCCCCCTCTCCGTCCCCCCTCCCCACACCCCACCCCACCCACCACCCCGCCCCCTTATCCCTCAGCTCCTCACATCAGCACGGGCCATCATCCTAGCAGGAGGCACCCTGCAGCCCCTAGACACCATGCTGGATCAGCTCTTCCCGTCCCTGCCCTCTCCCCGCCTGCGCCTCTTCTCCTGTGGTCACATAGTCCCCGGGGAGAGTGTGCTGCCGCTGGCCATTGCCAAGGGGCCGTCTGGGAAGAGCCTTGAGTTCACCTTCCAGTCACGCAGCGATCCAGCCATGGTCAGTGCACGCAATCTGTTTCTTTATTGCTGTTTTGGAGAGAAGGGAGGGGAGAGGCTGGGGAGCTTGGGTTTCAGATTGGATGCTTGCAACCCATCCTACCATCCCTTACTCTCGTCCGTCCCTGCGCACCCTCACTCCCTACCCGGATTCTCCCTCCCTCGCCCCCTCCTCCAGATGTCAGAGCTCGGCCGGCTCCTCGTGAACGTGTGCTCCGTGGCGCCGGGCGGCATCGTCGTCTTCTTCCCCTCCTTCGCATACCTGCAGGAGGTGCAGTCCGCCTGGCAGGCAGGGGCAGCAGGGGCGGTGCTCCCCATGCTGGAGGCTCGCAAGGGAGGCGTGTTCATAGAGCCCAGGGGCGCTGCAGAAGTGGAGGCTGTGTTGGGGCAATACAGAAGGTGCATAGAGGGGAGGGGCGTGCAGGGGAAAGGGGGGGACCAGGGTAGGGACGTTCAGGGGAAGGATAGTCGAGGGAGTGGGCAGGGAGGTGTGGGTACCAGTGGGGGTGATTTGCAGGCGGCGAATCGGGTGTCGCCACGTGGCGCGGTGCTGCTGTGTGTGATGGGGGGGAAGATGTCCGAGGGGATCAATTTCAGTGATGACATGGGTAGGGCAGTGGTGGTGGTGGGGCAGCCGTTCCCCAGCCCGTCGGATCCGGAGCTGAATGAACGGATGAGATTCATCGACAGGCTTGCAGGCAGTAGCAGCCGCAGCATCGGCGCCGCTGCTCCAGGGGCGGCTGACGCTGCTGGTAGTGGTGCTGCTGGTGGGGTTGCTGGTGGGGTTGATGGCGGTGCTATCGGCAACAGCGGCGGCAGAGCAGGCATGAGTCGATTTGAAACAGGGAGTCAATGCAGGACTGCGAGACTCGGAGACTCGTCTGTTGGGGAGGGAACGGTGGCGCTGGTGGCATCGCTGCGGTCGTGTGGGTCCAAGGGGCGGCAGCTGTACGAGGATATCTGTGCTAAGGCAGTCAACCAGTCCATTGGTGCGTGCCGTGGCAGTGCAGGGGCAGTGGCAGTGGCTGTGGCAGTGGCAGTGGCAGCTCGTGCACATGAACACACACACACACGCGCGCGCGCGCACGCACACACACACACACACACACACACACACGCACGCATGCACGCATGCACGCACGCACGCACGCACGCACGCGCACGCGCGCGCACACACACAACACACACACACACACACACAACACACACGCACGCACGCACGCACGCACGCACGCACGCACGCACGCACGCACACACACATGCGCGAGCGCGCGCACACGCACTCAGTCTAGTCACTCACATTCAGAACACTCGTCCATTCATTTTCCGCGACCTATCCCTAGCTCTCTTTTGCTCCAAATCCCCATTTCTCCCACCCTCTTCCTCTCGCCACACACGGTATATGACCACCTTGCATAGCTGCATGCTCTCATTGTTGGCCCATCACTTCTTTTGTTGTTTGTTGTTGTGGTTTTGTTTGTTTGTTTGTTTGTTTGCCTTTTGCAGGACGAGCCATCCGCCACAGTTGCGACTATGCTGCAATTCTATTGGTTGACGCTCGTTATGCGCGCGCTGATGGCAAGGGAATTACCGGTAAGTTGCCAAGCTGGATCAAAGCCCAACTGGTGGTTTGCAACGGAAGCTTTGGGGAGGTTCCCAGACGGCTACGACAGTTTTTCAGGCACAACGAAGAATGCGGGAAGGCCAAGTAGGTAATACTGTACAAATGTAAGAAAGAATCAAGCATATGTGCCCAATCGATGTAATAAAATGCGCAACACTATTTGAAATGTTACTAACATCACATGAGCAAATGGTGTAGAACACCAAACTGCCACGTTTGCAGCAGGTTCTGTATGATGTGGTTTCTGCAGTGTACCACGCCACATACAGGTACTTCAGCTACAACAGAATATACAGGTTGAGGGAATGAACATTATGCTCCTGATTTCGCAGCAGGTGTATCCCAGTATGGTGAGGCGACAATGGTGAGTGCGGATGTTTACCCAATCGAGTATGCATAGGCATGGCGGTGCTCCAAGTTTCACACGTGTCGTAAAGCAATTTCCTTGGTGGGTAACGTGCAAGAGAATATTGAACTACCAATTGAAACCCGATTAGGGCATCAATGATGTGGCATGTCCCACTCCCAAGCTTTTCGGCTGTGCTGTCCAATCACATATTCCCGTTACTTGGGATACTTTTTTGAAATGTCCTCTGTGCAAATACCATGTCGCCAGCTCGACATACCTACGATCTGCCTCTAAACCCCACGGACCCCAAGTCTCCTTCCTTCCTGTCCCAAAACTACTCATGACAGCGATTCGGCTTTACTCACTCACTTATCACGGCCCTGGTCTATCGTTCCCCTCTCCACCATCCCGCCTTATCGATGTCACCAAAGGCCGCATGTCAGACCACCCTCGAAAGCTGGGAGTCGCACTTCGCAGCCAAAATTGCTTTCCAACTGTCTACACCTGTGATTCCAGAGCAGTACTTCACTAAGTACGTGCCACTTACCGTGGCTGCTGGGAAACAAATGCGCCAGCACAGCACAACTGCGTCGCGGAAACAGTTCCCAAGAGTGCAGATTGTACGTGTATGACAGGTTTTTCAAGGACCTTTTTCCGAACCGCCGCACATTGGATACTGGCAATTTGAGTCTGGTATGAGTTACTGTAGTTGTGATTTCCACCAGGAAATAGTATTTTCCATTCGCTTTTGTTGGTGACTTCAGTTGACTGAGTTTCCTTCTGCCCAGGAGCCCAAAAAGTTCTGACCCCTCCGCCGCAGACGCAGAGTTTCGTCCAATCCCCCTCCGCCAAACTTGTGCTGACATTCGCCCACACCAAACACGTCTTCAGAAGCTGCCTTCCCCCATTCGCAGGCAGACAGGTAAACCTCCGAAGCGCGTGCCAGCACAACGAGGCAAGCAACCAGGAGCACCACCCGTGCGTCATCGCCATCTCCAACATCGCAGGTTTGGATCAACCGCCTATCCGACGGTAATCGCAAGCGGAGAGTGCGCGCGGAGATGGAAGGATGCGGTAATTGGGAGCGCGGAGTCCCCAAGGGCGGAACTCTCAGGGGATGGTTGGCGAGGCGACCAACAACAACATAGAAAACGCCTCCAAATTTCGCCCTCTGCACCACTCCTCCGCTTGTCAGTGAATCAACTGATCTCACTTCTTCCCCTCACTGTCACAACATCTAGCCATCTAGTGCAGACTCGCAGCACACACTAGCAGGACCAGCAGCATTCCTCGATCTTCCCAGTAACCTGCACCTGGAGAGCTGAATACACCGGTCCAACACAGATCAGTCTCAGTTTTGTTGTCGAAGTCAGTTGTCTAACAATTCGTCGATATCCCTTTCATCGTTCAGCCATTTTTTTCCCGAGTTTCATTTTTGCTGGATAAAATTAACCCTTTAATTATTAAGCCTTAAAACCATCATCGTCTGGCCAACAAGCAACCAAGCCACAATGGAGGCAATGGCAGTCATTCCTGCAAGGGCCACCCTGAACCCAGGCTTCGCTGCTTCTAAATCGTCCGTGTCTCTTCGTCAACGCAGCGGACAAGTATGCCGTGTGACAATGATCGCGTCGGCGAAAAGCTCGCCGAGATTCGTCTGTGCTCTTTCAGGCGCCGAGTCCCACGACAACTCTCTCTCCTCTTCTTCCACCTTCGCTTTCCCGCCGTCATCTGAATCCTCCAAGCGACTCTCTCCGCCGGGAGCGGTGGCTTCTGAGAACTTCGTCGAGATCGGCGGAGGCGGTCCGTTCAGTGGACCAAGCGGCAAAGGCGGAGGTGGAGGTGGGGGCGGTGGCGGAGGCGGTGGTAACGACGGCGGTGGCGGCGACGGTGAGCAGAACCGATCCGACTCCCTTGCCGTGCTGGCTGCTTTGGGGAAGAGCGTCGAGTCCATTCCCAAGGAGCTCGCAGATGCAGTCTTGGCTGGTCGGGTTCCTGGTGCTATCATGGAGCGATTTACCGCAATGGAGAAGTCCGCGATTCTGGGACGCCTGGTGCGCGTGTCTGGGTTCCAAGAACGCCTCCTGGCGGACGACCTTTTCTTCCTTAAAGTCTTCTTCGAGTGTGGCGTCGGAATGTTCACAAAGGTATGCTAGATCCACGATAAAAGAGTGATCCGCTTTCCTGGCTCAAATATGATCCTTTCTAGTGCTTGGTTGATATTCCTGGCGGAACCGCGAACTCAGACGCCCTGTCAAACATGTCTTAGCGTGAATGCTACCATGACACGATACAATTGGTGATCGGTAGCGCGCCACCTGGATTCAAAGGAATCCTTTTTTAAATTATTATTTCCCTGATCTTCACGCTTGACTCGTTCCATTGCTGTGCACTCTGTCCCTGTGCCAGACTTTGGCTGAGTACGATCGCCGGAAGGAGAATTTCATGAAGGAGATCAACTTCGTGATCGCCGATATCGTAAGTCAAACCCCGATTGCGTGCTTCTGATCGGGCGCCTCCTTAACTTCGGTCCAGGTTGCGTCTCTAGTTCCATCGCAATGTTGTCGTTTTGATCCCGTTCTGAACCAGTTTCCTGCAAATTGGGCCTCAAACTTCTTCCCGTCCCGTTGTTTCCCATCAGGTCATGGCGCTCTTCGCGGACTTCATGCTGGTTTACCTGCCGGCGCCCACCATTGCGCTGCGCGCTCCTGCCATTATCAAGGGCAACAAGATCGCATCGTTCTTCGCTCTTTGCCCTGACAATGCCTTCCAGGTACGATTGGGCTGTTATTATATTTTATGTTATTGAAGCGGCCGTTGTCTTGAAGCTGCCTTTTCGCTACTCCCGACTGATCCTAGTGAATCATTCTGCGTTTTCTCATTTCATTTCCAGATGGGGTTGGGGGGAGCCAAGTTCAGTCTGTTGCAACGAGCAGGCTGTGTCGTGGTAAGTGGTTGAATGCAGGAAATGCAAACGTTACCTGTACCAAATTTTATGTTTGCACTTTTCACCTCGTTTGACTGTCCTGAGAACTTGGAAGTGACTCGAAATCGTGATCTTTCAAAGTGATTTCGCTGAGGTGTTCTATGGTCCCTTCTCGTTTGCAGAGGAATGGAGCGAAGCTGATGGCCGTGGGAACTGTGTCGTCCTTGGTGAGTTATCCCAAGCTTTAATGCATGTGTCTTCCATTCAAGCATATTGGCAATACATTGTGAAACATGCGGGGATGTATGGCTGCTGAACCAATTCCCTCTTTGTGTGCAGATTGGCACTGGTGTGACAAATGCACTGGTTGCTTCTGGCAAGAAGAAGGAGGCTGCTGCAACCGGCAAGGAGGTGGTGAAGGGAGAGGGGGAGCTTCCTTTGGTGGCGACAAGTGTTGCGTATGGTGCATACATGGCTGTCTCCAGCAACTTGAGGTGAGTTCGTGCTCCAAATGCCCATTTCTGCATCCATTGTGGATTTTTTTTTCTGGTTGATGAATCTGGATCTTTCAAACGTTACATTTTGTGCTTTGCTATTTTTATGTGCGCAGATATCAAATACTTGCGGGTGTGATTGAGCAACGCATGCTGGATCCTCTTCTTCGCAATCACAAGATCGCCCTGTCTGGAGCTTCTTTCTGTATCCGTACCCTCAACACCTATCTTGGCTCCCTCTTGTAAGTTACAACTGGATCAGCTTATAACAACTAACCCCATCATTCCTTGTATAGTCTCTTTGTACAAGCCCAGTAGAATCGTTTCTCATTCTCTTACTCGTCCTCGTCTTCCTTTCCGCAGGTGGGTGGATTATGCTCGCCTGGTCGGAGTGCAGTCCCATGAGGCAGAGGCTCAAGCAGCTTGATTTTCGGAGCTCCACTACGGCATGGGGAAATGGCTTTTAGAGTAGGGTGCCTGACCTGTGTGGTACACACAGTTTTGATCCAACGATCTTCATTATAGTAGTAGTGTGCTTTGAAGGTGCCATGCTTCTTATCTATGTTGTGCTTGTTTGTGTTTGCATCTTTCCTGATCTTGTATTTTTGCTGTTAATAATAATTACCAGTTTCCAGAGACATACGATACAAACGATACCCCGTAACGAAGTCGTCTCGATGACTCGAACGAGCCAATTCACTGTTGACGTTTCCACGTTTTGGAATCTCAACGTGCCATCCCAACCAGCAGCCAGCAAGCAAGCACCTGCTGTCCTCGCTGCGGCGGTGGTCTTTGTCAGCCCCTAGGGACAATCAATGACGCACCTCTTGGCGGAGAAGTTTTCCCGATCTCGAGCCGCATCGCAATGCATCGTCCGTGTCGAGTCGCCTCGATTCCGCGAAATCCACCATTCCTAACATGGCGGGTTACTGGAGCTCATATCGGCGCATACTTTGGCCCAGGTCCATGGGGAGGATCACGGAACAAGGAGAACGAGGTATTTCAGATCACATAATGTCGCACCAGCAAATCTCTTGAACGAGGAGGCTGCTCAGAATCTCGGCGACTGCCGCACCTATCGCCACTGCCACACCTATCGCCACTGCCTCGTCGATTGCGATCTTGCTCCGCTCTTGCCTGTTGCCGCCTCCCTGAGGAGGTACCTCTCTCAGTCATCATCGGGCTAGGCCGAACGGAGCAGCTAGTGAAAGAAGCCCGTCGACATGGCCGGCGAGCCTGGCGGTTTCGAGGGTGCGGTTCCCAGCGCAAGTGGCGCGGCGTACAGCGTGCAGTGGGCTCTCGGTCCTTGCTCTCAGCCGTCCATGCTGCCTGCTGGCTGGACGGCGTATTTCTTCCCGCTCTCGCTGCTTCCCTCCATCTATGGCTTCCTGGTGATCCAGGTGAGAGATTTTCTTGAAAATATCTGAATCGGCCAAGCCAAGCACGCCGTACAGAGTGCGCTAACCTTGTGCACGAACCCAACAATTTGCTAGAGTACAGCGTCGGTTCTTGTTTATTTGGTGATCCAGGTAGATAATTATTGTTTATTTCTTCAACAAACTTCTATGGTTGGATATTCTTGTGGCAACCCAGGTTCGTCTCTCTCTGCTGGCTCTTTCACTACTGGGCCCATCGCCGAGTCTGTCACTTGTCAAGTTAATCTGCCAGATTAAGCACGCCACCCTGAGCGCACTAACCTTATGTGACAGCAACTCTTCTATTTGCTGTAGTGTTTGAGTCGTCTGACTGCCTCTGCCTCTCGCTCTCTCTCTGCTGGCAGCTGGTGGCGACGGCTGCAGTGCAAGCAGCATGTGAGCTGCTGGGATTCAACCTTGGATACTCCAAATTCGCCTCCACTGCGAAATGGAAGTCAATTCAGGTGACTTTTTACATCATCCTGCCATCATGTGTGCGAGCATACAAGCATGCCAGCAAGCTGAGACACCAGCGCGATTGTGGTGTGCGTCTCACATACCACACGCCTTCACGTCCGCTGCATTGCCAGAGTCCCCTCACGTGCACATGTTCCTTCCCCACAACTATTCTCGCACCGTTTTCTAGCATTTCGGGCTGAAATTGCTACCAGCACCAACCTGCTGTCTCTCTCCACAACCCTCTTCCCAATCCCACCCCACCCCTGTCAGATACCCTCTCGCGTTGGCCTTCTCCTCTTCTACCTCCCAGCAGCGCTCATCGCTGCTCTCTTCCTTTCAGCCGCCCTGGGACTCTCGCCCGCCCTCCACCTCCTCCGCGCCACACACATGCTCCCTCACTCTCCCTCTCCGCTCCCACCAACCGCTGCCTCTTGGATGGGTGCTGGTGCTGCTGGGACTGGGAAGCCCGGGTGGGAGGGACAGATGGGTGTGTGGGAGCAGCTAGTAGCAACGGTTACCAGTGAACAGTGGCGCCTGGTGCTGGTCTGTGCGGCCTGCCTGGTGCACTATTCCAAGCGATGCCTGGAAGTAAGTAGAAGGTTGTTGTCAGGGGTTTGTGTGATGTGAAGAGATATGTTACCGATCGCGGGCTCTGTTGCTTCTAGTACATTGTCTGCTCTGAGCGCTTGGTTGCTCACATGGCAGTCAAGCGATCAATCTGTGCTGTAATTTGAGTGCAGATTGATTTTTTTAACTGTTTTTGCCTTGACCAACTGCTATTTGTGATCCTGCTGACCGTTTATCTTCACTCTCTGTCTCTCTCTCCTCTTCTTCTCTCTCTTCCCACGATCTCTTCCCAACTCTTGTTCCAACTCTCTTATCCCTCTCTCTTCCTCCCTCCCTTATCCTTCTCTCTCCCTCCCCCCGCTTCCCCTTCCCGAATCAGACTCTCTTCCTGCATCGCTTCTCAGGCACCACTTGCCTAGTTACAACAGTGTTCATCATGCTTGGATACTGCATGCTTGCCTACGTCCTCCTTTCCTCCCAGTGGCTTACCGCTGCTGCTGCTACTCTCCCATCCCGTGCCACCACTGCTGCTGCAACTGCTGCTGCTGCCGCCACCGTCACTGCTGCTGCTTCTACGGCTGCTGCTGGTGCCAGTGCGGTTGCTCCCTGCAGTGCTGTACCTGCTGTGAATCTCATGCCCCTGGGCCTGCTACTCTTCCTTGTTGGGATGGCTGGGAACTTTTACCATCACTGGTTGCTCACTCGGCTGCGCTCAGATGGTACGTCCTTCGCTAACCGCCTTCCTGCCAACCACACTGCCTGTTTTGTTGCATGCACCAACCTCTGTGACAATCCCTGAAGCTGCGTCCATGTGTCTTATATTCTTTATGAGGCGTCTTCAAAGTAACCAGTCATCAATTGCTGGAACTGCATTTGTGTGTCCTACATGCCACCACCAGGCAGTCACGAGTACCGCGTCCCTCATGGTGGCCTTTTTCACTGGGTGACCTGCCCGCACTACCTCTTTGAATGCATCGACTTCCTGGGGGTTGCCTTCATGTCTCAGGTGAGTCACTTCCTCTCTGCTTTTTAATTCTGAAATACACCTTTGTTACATGCTGAAGGGTTTATGTTTTTGTCCAATTGTTGATTTTCACAATTTTAGTTACATTCATGTAAGAGTTCTGAGTTGGTATATTTACTAATTCACGTATCGTCGACGTCCATCCAACTTTACTGCTCTATCGTTTTTAGACTGTGTTAGGTGTGGCGGAGTTTTTGTTTACTCTATTCTACCTCTGTGGACGAAGCATTGCAACGAGGCGTTGGTATAGAAAGAAGATGGATGACTACCCAGCAAGCAGATGGGCTATCATTCCTTTTGTTCTGTGAAGACTTTAATTTTGTGGGATATATTCGTTTCTATGTTCAAATAAATCACTGTCAAAATGATTATACGTTAGCTTAGCTGGTGTTTTAGAAGTGCAGAACTTGAGAGTCCCGTTCTTGCTGTTCTCAACAGTGCACAGAGCTGTATGTCTCGAGTAAACTACCAGCGACAAGGGTTGTAACTAGTCGATCAACCAGCACAAGTTGGCGTGAGAAGTAACGAGCCGCACATACGAAGCGACCAATATGCCAAATCGGACTGCTGCAGCTGATGACGTGAGTAAGGGAGGGAGCGATAGGAGAGGCTCGCTCCAGACAGAGAGCTCGGCGCGCGTCCGGTGGAAGCTTCTAGCACGCGCACTGCTTAGGGAATCCGCGGGGAAAGGGGGAATGGGGGAAGGCGCGGGGGCGGAGAGGCGGCAGGGGGCAGGCGGGGATGCAAGCGCGGGCGGAAGGGGAGAGGCGTCGGGGAACTGCGCGGGTGATGAGCGGGTTTCGCGCCGACCAATCCGAGGGTTCCACCTGTTCGATTGCCGACCCGCGCAGGCGTCATGCGTGGCGCCAGGCGCAGCTCCGCCACGCGCGGATGGCGGGGGAGCAGCCGCGGCTGAAGAGGATGGCGGGGGAGCAGTCCCGGGGGAGTTGCCTGGAAGAGGGGAGCGAGCCATAGGGGCAGAAATCGTGGGAGGAAAGATTCTGGGGTCGGAGAGCGGACTAGACATGGGAGAGTCGGTGCACTGGGATCGTCCCTTCATCTACCGCATCCCCATTCAACCCACCCCCTGCCACCGCTGCTGCCCCTCCTCGCCGCATTCCTGTTTTTCCTCCCTCTCCTCCACCACCCCATCCTCCACATCCCAACAAACCCCTCCCCCCTCGTCCAGCCTGACTAATCGACCTTCCAGCCTCGAAAGGGAGATCACCATATGGTCCGTATCAACTGCTGCTGTGTCGTTTCAATCTGTGAAATCGCTGGGTTGGAAATTAGCTCCTATCGTTTAAAGGTTCTTTTCCCGTCTCACCCCTCCTCCCCTCCACACCTCCACCCTCCATCCCTCCATGCCTCCATCCCTCCATCCCTCCATCCCTCCATCCCTCCATCCCTCCATCCCTCCATCCCTCCATCCGTCCATCCGTCCATCCGTCCATCCTCCCATCCCTCCACCCCATGAACCCACTGTCTCTGATCACTCCGCCAGGCACCGAGTGGCAGGGCGAGTGCGGCTCACTGAGATGGCAGCTGCGACCAGAGCAGGCATTGACACCACCGGGCTGCTGGGTCAGTCAGTCTCCCTCTCACACTCCCTCGCTCTCCCACTTCCACTCGCACCCACTTCCTTTCTGCTCACTATCTCGCGCTGAGATGGCAGCTGCGACCAGAGCAGGCATTGACACCACCGGGCTGCTGGGTCAGTCAGTCTCCCTCGCACACTCCCTCGCTCTCTCTCTCTTCTGCTCCAACCCACTCTCTCCCTCTCACTCCTTTCTGCTCACTACCTCGCACTCAGGTGGCCCGTGTTGTCATGACACTTGTGGTCAAACAATGTTACATTGATGGTGTATAGTGCACACTTGTGTGCTAGAGTGTACGCTCTCCTTTCCTTCCACTCTCACACACTCTCTCCATGCATCATCTTATGGTGGCATGGTGGCATGGTGGCATGGTGGCAGGCATGTGGCCATCAGAAGAAGCCATGGCGTGCTACCTCATTGCACATGCACACAGATTCAGGTACTGCTGGGGTACGGCATGCCACATTCGCCCGTTGACCACGTTGACCACGTTGACCATATTCGCCATGTCGGTCCGTATCTGCTATGCAAGATGGCCTGTGCAACTGCGGCCATATCAGCCTGAAATATTCTCCTCCACACACCATGGCCCTGAGAGGCAAGGTTCCCAAAGAACGCATGTATAAGGAAACGCATGCTAAAATAAACAGCGTAAAATGGAAAAACGCACACTTCACTTCATGCATTTCTTCTGTTTATGCATCTCCCACCCTCACTCCCCATGCTGCTCCCCATCCCACTCCCCCTCCCCCTCCCCACGCCCCCCCGTGTACCTAGCAGGGGGCGGAGGGTGGTGGAGCTAGGGGCGGGGTATGGGCTGGCAGGCATGGCGCTGGCGGTGCAGCAGCAGGGCGTGGGGGGAGTGCTGCTCACTGATGGCAACGACACCGTGGTTGCACGTGAGCACGTGGCATGGGATGGCATGTGGTGGTGGTAGGGGTGGTGCCATGTGGTGGTGGTGGTAGGGGCGGTTTCTGTTTGCGTCGTGCTGCGATGTGCCTCTTTCCATGATGTCATGTGTGCTCGCATCTGATGCAGTTCCTTGTCACATACGTTGCTTCATCTCCCACTCCCCCTTCCTCCTTCCTCCCCTTCCTCTTCTTCCTCCCTTTCCCTTCCTCTGCCATGCCCACTCTCATCCGTGCCACCACACCGCATGCCACCACACCGCATGCCACCACACTGCATGCCATCAGGTCTAGGCCGCACAGTGGAGGCCAACCGGCATCAGTTCGGGGGCACCAGAGTGGCAGTCACAGCACTGCGCTGGGACCACCACCCCCCGCCCCACCTCTGGCCGCCTGCCCTCTCTCCGCCCTTCGATGCACTCATCGCTGCTGACTGGTGCGCGCTGCGCTTCCCCTCCACTCGTGAATTAAATTTCCTTCCCCTTCACTTCCACTTTCCTCAAACTCCCTTGACCTTCCTTGACCGCCCGTGACCACCCTTGTCCCCCACTGCATGTGCGCCCCTTCCCCCCATGGTAGCACGATTTTCAGGGAGCACCACGACCAACCTACTGCACAGCATTACTGCCCTCCTAACCCTTTTTTAGGGAACTCAAGTGACCGCTTCTGAAACGGCTCAAAACCCTTAAAATCCACTGTGTGTGTGCGCGCCCCTTCCCCCGTCCCACGGCAGCACGTTTTTCAAGGAGCACCACAAGCACCTGCTACACACCATCACCGCCCTCCTAACCCAGCATCTCAAACGAACCTTTTTGAGACATCTCAAAAGTCTTGACCCGCACTGCGTGTGCGTGCCTCCCTCCCTTCCCCCCCCCCACGGCAGCACGTTTTTCAAGGAGCACCACGAGCACCTGCTACACACCATCACCGCCCTCCTAACCCCTCTAAGGCATCTCAAACGAACCTTTTTGAGACGTCTCAAAAGTCTTGACCCCCACTGCGTGTGCGTGCCTCCCTCCCTTCCCCCCATGGCAGCACGTTTTTCAAGGAGCATCACGAGCACCTGCTGCACACCATCACCGCCCTCCTCTCCCCCGCCTCTTCCCAGCCCTCCTCCGTCCCTCATTGCCCTGCTGCGCGCGCCGCCTCTCTCCCCACCTTGCAGCAGGCAGCAGTTCTATCCGCAGAGGGAACAGCAGAACCCGACGGTACATGCATAGATGCAGCCAGGGAAACACAAACTGCAGCAGCAGCAGCAGCAGCAGCAGGGGCAGGAACGGCAGGGGAAGCAGCAACAGGGGCGGCAGCAGCAGCGGGGGCGGCAGCAGCAGGGGGTGCAGCAGCAGCAGCAGCAGCAGCAGCAGCAGCAAGGGTAGAAGCAGCAGCGTGCCCACTCTATCCTCCAGAGGCGTTTCTCTTTGCCCCGCACCGGGGCTCCTCTCTCTCGCTGTTCCTAGCCCGCGTGCAGCAGCAGGGGGGATGGCGCGTGCGCGTGGAAGAGAGATACCACGAGGGCGTCAGCCAGGCGTTTGGGGAGGCGTGGGGTGACGGGGAGGAAGAGGAGGAAGAGCGGGAGGAGGGGGAGGCGGAGGACGAGAAAGAGACAGAAGAGGAGAAGGAGGCAGAAGTGGAGGAGAGGAAAAAGGGCGAGGGTGTGAGGGAGAAGGTCAAAGAAGAGGGAGGAGCAGGCAGGGGTGGTGTAGAGGGAACGGGGACTGAGAGGAGGGGAGGGAATGAGGGAGGGATGAGGAGGCGAAATGAGCCATGGGAGGGGTACACACGCTTGCATGACTATCCTGTGATGGTGCACATGACATGGGTGGGGCAACCCACATGCACATGACGTGGGTGGGGCAATCTACGTGCACATGACATGGGTGGGGAAATCTACGTGCACATGACATGGGTGGGGCAATCTACGTGCACATGACACGGGTGGGGCAATCTACGTGCACATGACATGGGTGGGGCAATCTACGTGCACATGACACGGGTGGGGCAATCTACGTGCACATGACATGGGTGGGGCAATCTACGTGCACATGACATGGGTGGGGAAATCTACGTGCACATGACATGGGTGGGGCAATCTACGTGCACATGACACGGGTGGGGCAATCTACGTGCACATGACATGGGTGGGGCAATCTACGTGCACATGACATGGGTAGGGCAGCTTGAGGCGCCTCAAAACTCGGAAGGAGCCCTGAGAGAGCTTCACATGCTTGCATGATACCCTGTCATGGTCCACATGTACGGTACATCACATGGGTAGGACAGCCCTAGTGTACATGATGCACCCGGCATGCGCTGCTGCAGTGATGATATGATAGCATACCACATTCCTTGTACCACCTTCCGCGTACAGCGTACCGTCATCGCCCGGATATAAGACATATATGTCTTATCTTATTGTTACGAGTGCAATTGAGTGAGCGAGCGAGAATTGCACTATCGAAGCAAACAATACAGTTGAGTGAAAAGCATGAGCGAAGTTATATAGCGAAGCTAGCGTGGTAACGGTAATGTGGGAAATTGGGGTGCGCTACGGGCCTAGCGCCGAGGTTCGGGAAGTTGTCGAGGCGGAGGTCCGGAGCGCGGGTTACCAACCGAACCGTTAGGTTGGCTCGCATCGCGAACAGTGGCGGGGGTCGTGGTCGAGGCGAATGTCGCGAGCGGGTAACGTTCACGGATGGGTATCGATGGCGGGAACTGGCATGTACGCGGTAGCAGGGACGCGAAGTAAGGAAAAGGAATCTTCCTTACACTACCCCCCCCCCCCCCCCCCCCCCCCCCCCCCCCCCCCCCCCCCGAGGAGGCCCCTCTTACGAGAGCGCGTGTACATCTCGAAAGTTTCGGCTACGCAAATACTCAGTCAGGACAGGGTGATTCTCAATTCTATCCAGGGGGACCCAGTTGTCTTCGGTGGGCGTGCGGTCTTTCCAGCGGATCAGAAATTCGATCCTGCGGACTCCCCGTGGGTCACATACTCGGTGGCTCAGTATTTTTTCGGGCGTGATGATTGGCTCTGTCGGTGGTCGTGTCATGCTGGCGGGGCGGTTGCGAGGCAGTTGGCTGGTGGATGGTACGTATGGGCGAAGCAGGCTGACGTGGACTGACGGGCTGACGTACCAGTCAGCAGGGAGGAGGAGGTGGGCGGTGACGGGTGTGATCATGTGGCTGATGCGAAATGGCCCGCAATATCGGAGGCGGAGTTTTGGGGTGATGGGCAGGCGGAGGTTTTGAGTGTCGAGTAATACCAGGTCGTCTGGTTGGTAAGTGACGGGGCGGGGTGTCGGTCGGCGTTGCGCTTAGCGATGACGTTTGATTTTTTTATTGCTTCTGCTGCTCGGGTTCGTGCTGCTTGCAGTATTTCTGCGAACTGTTGCGCGCGTGGGACTGGGTTGTCAGGATTCGGGGTCATGGGTACTGTTGGGTCTTGTCCGTAGTTCAGGTAAAACGGTGACTGTTGGGTCGTGGCAGATGGCGAGTTATTGTGCGCGAATTCGATGAGTGGCAGTTGCTGTTCCCACGTGGTCGGGTCGTCGCACGTGGCTCGGATGAGCTGTTCCATGGTCTGATTTGTCCGTTCTGTCTGTCCGTCGGTCTCGGGGTGGTATGATGAACTGAACCGTAGTCGTGTGCCGAACTGCTGCCACAGGTTCCGCCAGAAGTTGCTGGTAAATTTCGTGTCGCGGTCGCTGATGATCGCCGCTGGTATCCCGTGTAATCGAACGATGGTGGCGATGAAGAGGCGAGCTGTTTCTTCGGCTGTGATTGATTTCTTGCAGGCTGCGAAGTGTGCCATCTTCGTCAGCCGATCGACGACGACCAGGATCGCGCCGTTCCCACTTGCTCCAGCCGGTAACCCCGTGACGAAATCCATCGTCACCTGCTGCCAAGCACGCTCTTGGGGTGGTATCGGCTGCAACTGTCCTGCCGGTCGTTGTCGTGACGATTTCATGAGCTGGCAGTGTTAGAATCTAGAGACAGGAGTGAATGAACTATGAAAGAGTTGGGTACAAGTATGAAACCCTATAAGGGGCTGTACCCCATATTGGCTACCCCACTACAGCCTACACATATATAACATGCATATACTTTGACACACCCCCATAGGCAAAGTGGGGGAGAGCAAGGGGTCACAAGACCAGTCAAGAGAAGCAAAGCAAGCTCAGGGTGGATCACAACGTCACCACACACACTGAGCACAAGCAAAGGGCCACAAGGCCAGTTCACATGCAGAGGTATATATGCAACAACAACAGCACAGTGATCTCTACCTAGCAGAGCAAGCATGCAGGTATATATATGGATCACAGTACAAGCAAAGTCTACAGAAAGTGAGGAAACGTGGGCACAAGGCCTAACAGAGTGCAGAAACGCTGATGATCACCAGACAGAAGCGCCTTGGTGAATATATCAGCAGTGTTGGCCTGAGTGGCCACGTGAGCAAGACGAAGCTGACCACGCTGCTGCAACTCTCGAGCCAGGAAGTAACGCAGAGCGATGTGCTTCGTTCTGTGCTCCA